ATATTAAATATCAATATATTATTTTTATTCAATTCTATGCAACAGAATCAGATATAAGTTTTTTTTTGTTTTGTTTTATTATTATTATCAGAGCATATGAGCAGAGCATAGCATAGCAGAGCATAGCGTCACTGAAGGTAGCATCATTTTACCAGCGTTGTCCAGTACAGCTGTACTACACCATGTTACAGCACAGTAGTGCTACTGCAAACAGGAATAAGTATACTGCATAGAAATTTCCTGTCAGCGCGTTATTTGAGCGGACTTTGTTTTTCCGGTGAGCATGAGCGGTACACGAGCAGAACGCACATTCATAGAGCGGAATATTGAGCGGAGCGTCAAATCGTGCAGTGACGAGGAGAGTGAAACCTGCGGGCTGAACACTGTCGGGTGGAGCGTGGCATGCCATATATATTATTATATGTAGCCTATATTTTCGCTCGTTTTTCTCTTTTGGCCGAAAACCGAAAATGCCATTTTAGGCCGATAATTTTCGGCGGCCGAAAATTTGGTGCATCCCTAGTAATTATCTAAACTGAACAGCCAAAAATATCCATCTATATTGAGCAATTCTGTAATTTGGCAACTAAAGTCGCGTTGTTTGTAAGAGTTGCTAGTCCTAGTTTTCCCATAAGATCTCCATACCATTTTCCCATATAGTCGGTACCAAGCCTCTTCCTAATGGCTCGATGACTGCAATCAAACCCTCTCTACTGAAGTGTATAGGAGCGCAAGGTCATTTTCCTTTCTACTCCAGCTCTTTCTTGCCCCGGTTTCAGCCTGATCAGTCCTGACAGTGCCCACAGGCCTCCCAGAGGCATGTCAGGAGAACTTTTGTCACTTGGGCTTGTCCGTAATCCTCTTTGAGCTTCACTGGGCTCCTTTTATTCCTCCTCACATGTCCAGAGTCCCAATTCAAACAGATATAAGCTCTAAAACTAACATCTAAAATGGGAAACCCATGTACATCATCACTGCAGGTGGATGTAGTTTAATTTATTGAATGAGTTACCCATTCATTCTTGATCTCCAAAAACTAGGGCTGCACAATTAATTGTTTTAATTAATTTGTTTTAATTTCAGTTTTTCTTATAAGGTTGTCAGAGCAAAGTGTAGGAAATAACAAAAATAGTTTTTGAATGTTTTGATGTAATAAGTCTCCTCACATCTAATGTAGACGGCGTGTTTCCGGGAAGAGAGGAACGTCCTGGTGAATGGAGACTGCCAGTGGATCACTACCCTGCATTATGCTTTCCAGGATGACAACTACCTGGTGTGTGTCTCCATCTCTCCATACACTTGTTCTCTTAGGACATAACTGAATGTTAGCTGTCAATTAGTGAGTTTTTAAACCTCAACACTTGCAATTTTTTTAGACCTTCACATCTCGAACCTGATATAAATCATAATCTAAATTATTAGCAGTAATGCAATGTTATTTACATGCTAAAGTAATATTTCTTAAGGTTTTTGTTAACTATATTTGTTAACTTCAATTTTAAAAATAAAAGCTTTCATTTAAATTTTAGTTTAAGTTGTAATTTTAGTTTGTTATGTGAATTTACATGCTTTAGTAATTTATTATTATTATTTTGAATAATTCTATTTAGCTTTCATCTTAATTCAGTTTTATCTATTTAAATATCTTAAACAGAAATTTGAAATTTTACTAGAAGTTTTTTTTTTTATCTAATATTTATAGATTTTTATCTTTCTTTCAGCTTTAGTTTAATTAAAGAAAACTATTTTGAATAGTTTTAATTAACAATAACAACACTGAATGCATAAATAGCACCCATTCTGGGTGTATTTAATGTAAGCTATCTTGAAAAAACCTCTAAGCCATACATATTTAATGTAATTAATCTGTAATTATATGATGTTTAAATAATTATCAGTGTAAATGATGGCCATGATGAAAATGTCATGTTTATCAGAGTGACTGATGATTATTTGTAGCACAAACTCCGATAGCGCAGCCCTCAAACACGCTAACACGGAGTACTAGAGGTTATGGCACAGTGCATTCTGTGTGGTTACGTGATAAATATTTGTTAATCATACTACTCTTTGATGTCGTTCAGTTGATATTATGAAGTGCTGAGTCAGTGTTTGTGTAATTGAATGGTGTTGTGTGATAAGGGATGATAATGTCTCCTCCTGCAGTACTTAGTGATGGATTATTACGTGGGAGGCGACCTGCTGACTTTGCTTAGTAAATTTGAGGACCGACTCCCGGAGGACATGGCCAAGTTCTATGTGGCAGAGATGGTGCTCGCTATCCACTCCATCCATCAGCAGCGCTACGTACACAGGTGACATGATTGTGTGTTTGTGTGTGTGAATGGAGAATTAAAGAACAAGTGAGAATCAGACGCAGACTTGATTCTTGGTTCACTTTAACCAGCAAGACTTAGTTTACCACAAAGATCATGCTGGTAGACTGGCACCAAACTAGCATAAACCAGCCCAGACATTTATACTTATACATTTAGCGAACACTTTTACACAAAGTGAGTCAGCTCATGCTCATTCATGCTGGTCTTCTCAGCAGGGTTTTGCTTTGTTTATTCCCTAAAATTATGTAAAAAGCAAACTGTGGTTGATCACTTTATATATCATGTAACCCCTTCCTGTCCAAGTGAACCATTTTTAGCCAGAATAAGCTGCAATGTGGGCCGGACATTATGCTGATAGTCAAGTTTTAATCGCAAGATTAGATCCAGACAAAACGACAAGACTTACCCAATGTAGGATTCTGCCCAAGTGTTTGAACATGTACTCACAAGTATAGCAGAGTGGTCATTGGCCCTGTGTGAGTAATGTGCACACTGGAGATCAACAGCACCTCACCCATATGTCCACTCCCACATGAAACATTTAATGAAATGACCGCAGATGGCTGTGGTGTTCTGGGCTGCAGATCTGTTCAGGTTCAGGGGCCTCTTCCTGGCTGCTTGTCCTGGACTGCCATCCGGTCCAGCTGAGCCCCCTCTTCCTTCCTTTTGTGGAAGCGTCACCTCTGATACAGTAGCACTATTCAAATGGTAGTTTACCAAAAAATAAACATTTACTAACCCTCACCTTATTTACAACCTATAAAGAGGTGTTTAGCAGAATGTAAGCACTTTATGAATAAAATAACACTGAAATAGTGGTATGGCTTAGTGTGATTATGGAATTGCAAAAGCTGTTATTTAATTAAATGAATACATGCACTACTTGTTTTAGAGTGAAGCGCAACACTTTTACACACAAGCACCTCATGATCCCGTATTTTTAGTGTTTCCGAGCACCTCGTTTCACGGTAAATGCTGCTCCAAACAAACTCTGCATTTGGGATACTTACAGCTTTGAAAATGCAACATGTGCCAATAAAAGCTCAATGCATCTTATGTTTGAAAATTAAGGAAATTAAGACATAAATATAAGTATTAATTTCCAGTTTTACTGTATTTTACTGTAAGAATTTTTCTAATTCTTGACATTTTTAATTTTACAGTGAAATTACGATAGGAGTATTTCTTATTTTGTGTACTATTTTTCTTTATTAGTAATAATACTTATAGTACTACTAATAATAATATTTATAGTCATATAAATATATCTTATATTTATATTGATATGAATTCCTATTGAAAAAATTGCACTTCGATTTATTTCTTTTTAATTTTTTCACCTAAATTGTGTGACCCTAGCAGAATGTTCACACTGCTCTTTTCCCAACAATGGATATGAATGGCTGCTGCTGTCAAGCAATATTTTTAGCAAATAACAACCTAGATTTCAGTCTTTTTATCTAAAAAAAACTATCATATTACTTCAGAAGACTTGGATTATAGTGCATTAATTTAACTAAAAATTAGATTATTTAAAAAACTTCTATGATGTTCCTATGGTGCTTTTTTGAGCTTAACAACATCAGTTCTCTTCAGTTTTCATTTTACGGAAGAGGGCAGCATTAACTTTCTTTAGTCATACAGGTTTGTATTGATATGAGGGTGAATTAATGAAGACATTTTATTCTGATTCTTTAACTTGATTCCCCCAACCGATCATAACAGCCTTTTAAACACATCGCATCATGACCCTGCTGGGCCAAAGTAGCTGACTAAAGTCATGCTAGCGCTCGTAAACACGCGTGTGTCCACGGGTACATCCCTTCGTGCTTATACTGACACCCAGTGAGGTTGTGAATTGTGTGGTGTGTGTGTGATGAGTTTTGACACCATGTTTACTCTGTACCCGCTGTGCTCGCCATGGTGCCAGGGCTGTGAATCAGAGGGCACTGTGTGTGTGGCCCAGTCGTCGAGAGACAGGGACTGAGTGTGTGTGAATGGGGGAGGGTGAACAAAGGCAGGCTGTTTACATGGAGAGCAGGGCATGGCTGGGCATGGAGAAACAGCCACCCTGGAGAGCAGACGCAGGGTGGGTTGCCCACTGGAGTAATAACACCTCACAGCACAGGGCAGCGTCAGCTGTGTGATGAACGGCGCTGAGTGCCATGTTTTTTTCACCTCTGTCAAAGCCATCTTTATAGAGGTGGTTCTTAACTGGTGGGTCATGACCCAAGAATGAGCCACAGGTCTGTGCTAAATGTGAATAATAATATGCAACCTACTAGGGGTGGGCGATATGATCAAAAGCTTATTATAATATAAGTAAATTTATTTCATGGTAATGATATTTCACAATGTAGCTATTTTTGCTTTAAATAAGGTCTTTATGATATCAAAATGTTTGATACCATAGAAATTTCATAATTCTTTGCACCAGTGTCAATATCATAAAAAAACTAATACTAGCCAAAATTTGAAAAAAGCTAACTGAAGACAAGTAAACAGTCAGTGATTAAATAAGAATATAATTACAAGCAATAGGACAAGAAAAACAATAGTAGAACAAATAAGAAATGCTACATACTTTGTGTAAAGTAATCAAATGTATAAAAACACTGCATATTCTCACTGTAAATTAAATATATATTTCTTTTTATGAAAGTTACAAAAGTTTCTTGATTTGAAACAATATTACTCATTAGAACATGCAGAACTGAGAAATAATTTTTTTATATTAAGCTACTTATTTTGTTAAGGAAAAATGACAGGAAAAGTGTAAAGAATTCAAAAACGTGAAGTGTTTCACATTAGACTTTCACATTAGAGAAAAAATCTGCCTTTAAACTTGAAAGAAATAAAAATTTGACATTTATAGTGATAGTTATTGATATCGACAATAAAATAAATATAATTTATTTTAATTTATTAATTCATTTATTAATTTATAATCACCCTGCCCTACTCCCACACTCTATGAGCACCGTCTTGACGCACCCGCACCTCTGACACGCATATAGCGAAATTAGTTCTCTTTCACTGCTGACTGCATTTCAAATCTTAAAATCACTTGTTTTAAACCGCAATGCTTAAAAACGTGTGCAAACGATACATTTTCGTGACCACTTAGCACAGCAAAGTCACATGAATGTGTAACACACCCAATAGAGACGATAGTCAAACATCTCTAGCGGTTGACACATTTCTACTGGTTAATCATGTCTACGGGTATATCGCCCACCCCTACAACCTTCAATATAAACATGCATGCATTAGCTAACATGAACTAATGATATCTACACTACCAGTAAAAAGTTTGGGGTCACTAAGATTTTTTTCAAAGAAATTAATACTTTTATTTAGCAAGGATTCATCAAAAGAGACAGTAAAGTAAAAGTAAGAAATATTTCTTGAGCACCAATCAGCGTATTAGAATGATTCCTGTAGGGTCATGCGACTTTAAAGGCTGGAACGACTGAAGACTGCTGAAAATTCTGCTTTGCCATTACAGGAATAAATCACATTTGAAAACTCATTAAAATAGTAAATATTTTTTTACTTTGGAATTGTAATAATATTTCACAATTTTTCACTCTATTTTTGATCAAATAAATGCTAATTTTTCTTTAGCCTTTATAGTCTTTTTTAATGTTAGTTTGTTCACAGCATATCAACAAATGTTACCAAAATATTAAATTTATTTTAAATGTATTAGTTGAAATTACAAACAAATAAACAAAGTCAACAAACGAAACCGTATTTTAAAGTGACAAAAGAGATTTATCAGCCATTTATTATTTCTAGCCAAATAAGGTGGATGCCAACCTGGACAGGTTGCGTGATATACCCTCATCCTCAAAAACCAAAACTGCAGATGGTTTAGAAGAAAAATGATCCGACCTAGACTACATTAAATACAAGTTAACATGCAATGAGGGTAACCATGGTTTCCGCTGACCACATTGTGTTTGTGTAAGTACTGAGAGCATGAAACCACTGAAATTTGAGAGACATTTAGAAACCAAAATTGTCTATTTTCCTGGTCATTCTAAGTGATGTTAGTAGTTCTACATATTATTGGGCCCATGCTGTTCATTTTAATATTAATAGTTACCAATCTTTCATTTTTAATGACATTTTTGTGTGCTAAACAATTGGGATTTAGGTCACCACTTGATGTCCAATGTAAAGTCCTGAAGCAAAGCCGGTTAAGAACCACTGCTTGAGTTATTTCATGCTTAAATGCTGTGTTTCCTGTTCCCACAGGGACATAAAACCAGACAACGTGCTACTGGACATGAACGGTCACATCCGTCTCGCCGACTTCGGCTCCTGTCTGAAGATGATGCAAGATGGCACGGTGAGTATGTGATGAAGGGCTCAACTTTGAACTCAAGTGTCCATCTAAAACCAGAGTCAGTTTGTCATCCTTGCAGGGTGGTCTCCATCTGTTCGGTGAAGCACTGCCCCTGCCCTCTTTTCTCTCTCTGCTCCTGACATTAATAGAGCTGCTTTTGGCCCTGCTGCCCTAGAAGGGGAGGGCTAATTAGAAAGGCCCGTCACTGCCCACCCCTCTGGCTCACAGACTGATGAGTCACCATAGCACACTGATAACAAGACCAAGGCCAAAACAGCTTTTATCTACTGCTCTGTGTGTGTGTTCTCTGTGCCAGCAGCATGTAGAAGGGCAGAACGGGACTTTAGTTTTTCAGCTGCACATGTGCTGTGTTCCACACCAACTGAGCAGATCCCTGCATGTTTGTAGATGTTACACCTATATTTAGATGTTGAGTACAGGAGATCTTTGCGATTATTCAAAACTAAAGCAAAATCGTGATCAGTTCACAGATATCACTGCTCCACACAAACTAATTTCTGCATGCGCTGTGAGTTTGAGGTGCTTATAACGTGTACTTGAGGAGTGCTTATAAACCAGCTGTTGTCAGCATAAGAGAAGCTTTAAAGGCTTCCAGCAGTTTTCGACAGGAAATAAAATCATGATGGTTTAACATGAAAATGAAGAAATTGAAAATAAATCATGTAATAAATTCTATTACATTAAATAATGTAATAAATATTAGTGTTATTATATTAGTATATTTATTTTTTGTATAGTATATTATTTTTTGAAAACATGTTATTTTATTTTACAGTGAAATATTGCATTGGTAATATTTATTATTTTGTTTGTTTTTAGAAAAAAAAATACATTTAATATAAATTAAAAATATAATGTAAAATTAAATTATAAAATTATTATTATGAAATTAGAAATTAATAATAGTTATTATTAGTAGTAACATTGGTATATATTTTTGGTTACATTGTGCAGCCCTACAAATAAGCACAGTACAGCTGGAGCTTTAAAAAAAAAATAAAAATCTGAATTTGTTTATCAGAAATATCACATTTGGATTTTTTCCCCCCAAATCATTCAGCCATAGAAGATTGTGGTCTTGTGATCATTGTATTGGACAAGTCATCAATGTTTTGCTCCATTTTTTACTCCTGCAGTTTAAATGTGTGTACCTGCTAGAAGTAAATTTTGTCTGTTTATAGTCACTTACATAAAGGTGAGTTTTTGCAAATATTAAAGTAAAAGCCACAAAGCCTCATGGTGTCTGTAATGTTGCTTGAAGGCATATTTATGCATCTCTCAACATCTTTCAGCGTTATCTTAGACAGTCTTTACGTCTTCTCTGCAATTAAACATTCTACAAAAATAACCAGAGGTCAAGACATGTTTTGAGTGCTATTGTATGGTACATGTTTTATGGGCAAGATTGAGCCAGACTTGGTATTGTGAATATTATGTGTCTACACCTTTATAGTAGTGTTTTTGTGCACTACTGGTTAATGTGTCTATAGCTGTTGTCACTTATTTAAAGGCATCCAGAAGTTCGGGGTCTGTAAGATTTTTTTATGTTTTTGAAAGAAGTCTCTTAGGCTCACACAGACTTAATTTTTTTGATGAAATCTTAATTTAAAATAACTGTTTTCTAGATTGTTTTATATTTTAAAATGTAATTTGTCCCTGTAATGACAAAGCTGAATTTTCAGCATTATTGCTCCAGTCTTTAGTGTCACATGATCCATCAAAAATCATTCTAATATGCTTATTTGCTGCTCAAAAAAACATTATTTTTAAACTTATTATTATCAATGTTGGAAGTTATGCTGCTCCATATTTTTGTGGAAACTATTATATATTTTTCAGGATTCTTTGAATTGAAAGTTCAAAAGAACAGCATTTATTTGAACTAAATCTTACAACATTATAGAAATCTTTCCTGTCACTTTAAAAAACAAAGTGACTTGTTTGTGACCTCACTTCCTGTCATCCCCTGTGCAGGTCCAGTCATCAGTGGCTGTGGGCACCCCAGACTACATCTCCCCTGAGATCCTGCAGGCCATGGAGGATGGCATGGGGAAATACGGGCCAGAGTGTGACTGGTGGTCTCTAGGAGTCTGCATGTATGAGATGCTCTACGGCGAGACGCCCTTCTACGCTGAATCCTTGGTGGAGACCTACGGGAAGATCATGAACCACGAGGTGAGATGATCCATCATTGTGTTTTTGGTATTTGTCCAGTTTACATGCTCCCCACCACTGAAAAAACAAACACACATTTACAATCTCACATTTGCATCTTGAGAAATTAGAAATTTCTTGTGATAAAAAAAGCATGAACCACAGTGAATCCGTTGATAATGTTTATTCATAGCCAGTAAAAATAAAGCGTAAGTTAATTATCATGACAAATAACATCCCGGCTGTAACTCCTTTGGGACACATAAAATCAGGACTGCCCTAATTTTATCGGCACATCTGGTCACCCCTGAGTAGTGGTTTAGAGTGGAAAATCTGGTCTAATTTGCACTGTTTAGGAGCGTTTCCAGTTCCCCTCTCACATCACGGATATGTCCGAGGAGGCTAAAGACCTGATCCAGCAGCTGATCTGCAGTAGAGAGCGTCGGTTGGGTCAGCACGGCATCAAGGAGTTCAAGAAGCACCCTTTCTTCTCTGGCATCGACTGGGAGAACATTCGCAACACAGAGGCACCGTACATCCCTGACGTCAGCTCTCCCTCAGACACCTCCAACTTTGATGTAGACGATGATGTGCTGAAAAACCCAGTTGGTTTAACTCTTTTGATGGGGAAAAAACATTTTGTCCCATATGAAATAACAAGCCTGAAACCTTAAGTATACTAGTGTCCACTTGTTTGTATTTAACTTTTGACTCTTTCTGTTTCCCCCTGCAGGACATCGCTCCCCCAGTATCTCACACAGGTTTCACCGGGCAGCACTTGCCCTTCGTGGGCTTCACCTACACCACAGACAGCTGTTTCTCAGACCGCAGCAGCGTGAGGAGGGTGGCGCTGGCAGATGGAGGCGCCGGGGAGGATCTCCAGGATGGGGGTCTGCAGGTGGAAGCTTTTGAGAAGAGGATTCGCTGTCTGGAGCAGGAGAAACAGGAGCTCAACCGCAAGCTGCAGGGTAATAAATATAAACTCCACCTGATATCTGAAGAAAGCATTTAAAGGATTGGTTCATCCAGAAATTTAAATTGTCATCAGTCACTCATAAGACTTTTGTTCATCTTTGAAACACAAATGAAGGCGTTTTAAATGAAACCTAATAGATTTCTGTTTCTCCGTTGTAAGTCCATTCCACTGAAACTTCAAAAAGTTCATAAAGATATTGTAAAGGTATTCCATATGAATTGAGCATATGTGAATAAAGCCTGAATTAGTTCCTTGTAAAGTGAAGGTGTTTCTTAATAAGACTTGGATTAAACTGCTTGGTTCATTGGAATTATTTTTGCAATCTCTTTTTTAACTTTTTGAAGCAACAAAAACAGAAGTCTCTCAGGTTTCATAAAAATATCTTCATTTTTCCCTTAAAATGGTTTTGATGGCAGAATCATTTGCCAAAAGAATCATTTTTGGGTGAATTATCACTTTAAGCCCTTGTTATATAATCTATTTGGTGTTAGTAGTTTTGTTTCATTTTGTAAATCCATCAGTGAAATGTTTTCTAAGTATATACTGATTGTTTGTTCCACCCATGATTTCCTAGAATCCACTCAGGCTGTTCAGTCCCTCCATGGCTCTGGGCGTGGGGCTGGCACACTTGGTCGTGATAAAGAGATAAAAAAACTCAATGAGGAAATCGATCGGCTCAAAAAGAAACTGGCAGGTAATGGGTCTCCCAATCCTTGTCAATGGATATATGATATGATAAAGTCTGTTATGAGTCTTGTCAAAGCACTACACACATGCCTACGTTATAGATTAACTATGATCACACATTCGTAGAAAAGTGCTGTGTCAAGATTGTGAGTCAACGCCACTTCCTCTTATCAGAATTTCTTGATTTGATTATTTGGCTGTATATTTGTGTCAGCTAATCAGTCACATCCAAGATAACTGAGTAACTTCTCTCCCCAGACTCTGATAGGCTGGAGCACCAGCTCGAGGAGGCAGTGACTTTGAGACAGGACTTTGAAAGTTCCTCCAGCAAACTAAAGGCCCTGGACAAACAAGTCAAAGCTCTCAAGCAGGAGAAGGAGGATATCCATAAGGTATGAGTGACTGGAGAGTTGGGTTACCAGTCATTCCTGAATGCAAGAACTGCTTTCTTGTAGTACGAGAAATTATTCCCACAAATGTAAATATTCCTAAACATTTTCAGTCCTGCATGGGAATCAAAAGGAATTTCTGATTTCTGTTTACAATTTAGTTCCTTAAAAGTTCCATTAATGTTTGGTTTTGTATGTTGAAGAACAAATATTTGGGAAGAAAAAGTAATTCATTGGTAAATGATGAGATGCATTTACTCTTGCAAAAGTCATTTACACAAATCTTTTATAATACATTATAAATAGTACCATCAAACGATTAATCGCATCCAAAATGAATTTTTGTTTGCATAATATATGTGTACTATGTATACATATTTATTATGTTTATTTAAATACACACACATGCAGTATATATTTTGAAAATGTTTACATGTATTTACATGTATACATTTATACTCATATAATTTATATTATATATAAATATTTAATATATAAACATAATTTTTTTTTTACAAATATATACATGCATGTATGTGTATTTATATACACTTAATATACGCAGTACACACACATATATTATGTAAACAAAAACTTTTATTTTGGATGCCGTTAATTGTGATTAGTCATTTGACAGCACTAGTTACATAATAAACAACCAGCCAGTAACTACACTGATTTAAGTCACACAAGCCTTAAAAATAAATGAAAATGCACCTTTTTCAACTTTTTAAATGCGTCTAATTTTGAATCTAATTTCGAATTATTCATTCGTGCATAAGTTTTTTTTTGACCTTGTAATTTTTCAGAATTCAAAATCCAGTCAATAACCGTTGGATATAAGTCTGCACTCTGTTATTGTTTTGTCACTAATCCATTACACTCAGGTGTAGGTCACCATAAGAAAGAAAATATTAAGCTTTGTTTGTTTGTTTCACTCAAAAGAACATGCTGTATGGTTTAAATTCATTAAAATAAATTTATATGAAAAAAACGAATGCTTTTCGGAACAAGAACAGGATCTCAGTTCTCAACTCTGCTGTAAAGAGATACAAGGTGTAAAAATCTCTTGAACACCTTCAGAATAAGTGTCGTCATATACTGTGCATGAAATGCATTACATGCTGTAACAGATTACGTGACTGCAGACATAACTGCCAGAGAACAGTTCTCCTGTCCTCGTGCTGAAGATTACATGTCCTCGACCTCCGCTTCAATCAGGAAGTTCATAAACACTGGCCCGCTTCATCAAGATTAATGTCATCACCCCCTCACACAGGGCAGGTCAAGATTCTCACTGCGTATCACATTTTTAGCTAATCGAATTTGTCGGGCCGTTCCACTTGACTCTTGACCCAGAGACCTGGCTCGTACCCACCAAAGCTCTGCATGGCTGGTGTATGAGAACCATTCCAGCCTGGTTTTTTTTTTTGTTCTTCCAGTAAGAATTCTCTCTGTTAATTTCATGTGTGCCAGTTGATATCATCCTTACGAGCGTGTGTCTCGTTCTTTTAGCACACAACTCCCAATTCTCTTGATGATTTCTATTTCTCACTCAGCCTCTTTTCAGTCCTTTCTCTCCAGGCACGGCTGCTCTTTCCTTTTTCTCTCCTTCCGCTGCTCCTCTCGCACACTCTTTCACTGCTATCGTTTTCACAGCTTCTGATCTCACCCCTCCATCCCATTTCATCCGTTTCTCTTGCTCTCCCTTTCCAGCAACTGATGGAGTCTCTGGATCGCCTGAAGTCTCAGACCAAGGAGCTGAAGGACGCCCACCAGCAGCGGAAGCTGGCCATGCAGGAGTTCTCGGAGCTGAACGAGCGCATGGCCGAGCTGCACTCGCAGAAGCAGCGTCTGTCGAGGCAGCTGCGGGACAAGGAGGAGGAGATGGAGGTGGTGATGCAGAAGATCGACGCTATGCGCCAGGACATCCGCAAAACCGAGAAGGCCCGCAAAGAGGTGAGCAGCATGATTGAAGGGGGTCACGCGACCCCTCTTGTAATGTTATGACTGTTTTGGATCTGTTTTTAAAGTAAATGGAGATGAATTGTCAGGGGCTTTCAATCAGGAAGACGTATTCACGCTACATGTGTCATCCTGGTATTCCGAACCCGTGCCGTGTTTATTACTCCGCGTCATCATGTTAACACCCCCGGGGCTGACGGAGGGCACAGTCAGATGAAAACAAGGCCTTGGAATGCGCCACATTTTTGAAGTTCATCAGTCACGCTCCAGAGAGAGACGGACTCAACAGCTCCAAATCTCCCTAGACGACAGCAGGAATGTCTTCACACCCCTTCCCGCCCCCTCTCGTCCCTGCAGACCAGCCTCACGGACCCCATGACCTCCTCTGGACCTCAGTGACTAACTCAAGCCAGATGGACGACACTGATCGCAGTGCTGACTGCAGCTGGATTGAGACCCTCCCCCATTTATACGCTCTTTTCTTTTATGTTTCGTTTCTTTCTCTCTCATGCACAAGGCGGAAGCGTTTCGGGGCGAACAAAAATGTTGTTCTTGATGTCAGGATCTTTTTAGTGTTCAAAGACATAAAGTCTCGCGGGGTGTGTGCAGTTGAAATTAGGCCAAGATTGAAGGGTTTATGAGAATGTCTATACGAATCCTAGTTTTTTTTTTTTTTCCTCCATATTGATTGTTTTTCTTATGTGTGTGTGTAATAGCTGGAGTCTCAGCTGGAGGATGCGCGTGCCGAAGCCTCTAAGGAGCGTAAGCTCAGAGAGCACAGTGAAGTCTACTCTAAACAACTGGAGAGCGAGCTGGAGACGCTCAAGGTCAGAGGTCACTCATTCATACACTGCCTCTTTACTGACTTCAGCCAACTTATGAATATTTTATGGGTGAATCTCACGATAACATGTCTGGGTCATATTTAACCACAAATTCGCAACAAAAAATAAATTGTATAAATTATTTAAGTAAAATCAATTATTTATTTATTATAATAACTATTATTAAATACTAAAATATGTATTATATATATATATATATATATATACTATTTTGTTTAACTAAAACTGAGAACAAACTGCCATATTTCTTCAAAATATTTACACAATTATGTGGGAGGACTTGTGTGCTGTTCTATGAGGAGGAGCTGGTGAGACATGATGCCAGCCACACTACAGAGCTGAAGAACCTGAGGAAGGAGCTCCATGACTCTGAGGGTCAACAGCTGTCACTGCACAAAGAGCTGCTGGTGCTCAAAGATAAACTGGAAAAGGCCAAGAGAGAGCGGTAAGCTGCACTGTCACCTGTCCAGGTTGTGGGTTGACACCAAAAGATTTGATTCCAGCTAGTGATAGTTGAAAATGAGGTTGTCAGCATTGGCTTAAATCTAAGAAAAAATTGTATATGCAAAAAAATAAATAAATATAAATAATGACTACATTTTTTGAAAGAGTCTCTTATGCTAACCAAGGCAGCATTTATTTGAGCAAAAATACCAAAAATACTGTAGAACTGTGTTGTAATAATATTCAAAATATTATTACAATTTAAAATAAATGTTTTCTGTTTTATCATCTTGTATTATTTTATTATCAACTCCTCCTGGAATATAAACGTAGAGTGCTTGATTTTTTTCAATGCATGCTGTAAGCAAATACAACACAGACTTAAAGTGAACCAAGCCTGAGATGGCATTATGTTGCCCACTGAAATGAACCATGTACAGATGCACTGCACTCACATTCGTGACTTACTATGTGTTTGAACATTTTACAGACAATTTTGAGCACCCCAACTATTCACTTTGAAATTAATGTTTTTAATTAAAAAAAAATAATAATTCATATCACAATGTAGATTTTAATGCAGCACTGTCTTCAGCCATTAAAAAAAAAAAACTCATATCGATCACTAATTCCAGAACTATTTCAATACGCACAGGCAAACCGAGATGGACGAGGCCATGGGTGCGCTGAAGGAGAAGTTTGAACGTGAACGCAACCTTCTGAGTGAAGAAAACCGTAAACTCACTGCAGAAACAGACAGGGTAGGACACCATATTTCATATTGCAAGAGGCCACGTTGAGTATCAGTTTTTGGAGTAATATTCAGTCCTTGACACTGATCCTAAAATCTCCTCCCCTGCAGCTCTGCAACTTTGTGGACAAGCTGACGGCTCAGAACAGGCAGCTGGAGGATGAGCTCCAGGATCTGGCATCGAAGAAAGAGAGTGTAGCACACTGGGAAGCACAGATCGCTGAGATTATCCAATGGTGAGAAAGACCTCCCTCACATTTGTTTGTATGTGGCTCATTTGTAGCCATCAAAAGCTACAATTCGCCAAAATAAACATTCTTGTGTTTCTTCAGTGGTACACAAAATGATTTTTGCCTAAATTATATCTTGAATTGCAATAAAATATATGTCTTGGATTGGTGACATTGTGGACAAATAGCCAAATTTATGACTGTATATATTTTGTAGGGTGAGCGATGAGAAAGATGCACGTGGCTACCTTCAGGCTCTGGCCTCCAAGATGACGGAAGAGTTGGAGTCTCTGCGTAGCTCAAGTCTGGGATCCAGAACGCTGGTAAACATCACAAATTTTGATTTGATATTAAAAGAGGGGAAGTTACGTTGTTATCGGAGAATATTTCCAGCTGTATTTCCCAGAGCTGCATAATCAAGCTTTCACCACTGAACTCCCAGTTAAACAGCTGATCTGCTGTTATGCTCCAGTTTTAGTTTATAGGGATTTATAGGGCATCTGTTATGAGAGTGAGACTTCTAATTTTGTCAGTGAGTGGAAAGCTCTCTCTCTCTCTCGTTCTTTCTCTAACTCCTTGGAGCTGTAGCACAGTAACATTAGATTTGCTTTAAATAGCAAATCTAATGGAAATTGATTGAAGGGAAGTGACATGTTAATGTTGGAGGTGTTGGAGGTCACATTTGATTTAATATCCGTTTCTAAGGAGGTTAAAGACTGACTGTAGGAGATTGTCATTAGTGCCTTTCCGTCTTGAAAGTGCTGTTTGTTATTGCCATAGTGGGATCCGCTGATGAGAACTATTGATTCACGGCCCTGAAGGTTTGGGTTTGAAGCCACTGTCCAAAGATGTGGTCAACGTTGCTTATTCTCAAATTGAACTAATTGGCTTAATTGCAGGGTTGCTATGGGATATGGTACAAATAGAAGTCAATAGACTTTGGCTATTGGAGAAGTTTGCCATTAACGTCCTGTGTTTGGGTCATAGAGTTAAAAAATTACAGATTGAATTCATTAGAATGCCATGTTTTTGGTTGTGGTTTTGTTGATTTTCAAAATAATTTCTGTAAACAAAATTCAGACATTTCTTGTTGGAATATGACTGAACATTACTTTCTACTTCCTCAGATGTGTCTCAAGGAATCAAATTAATAGGCCGTTCAGTCTTAAAATACACAACTGTTCAAAAGTTTGGGATCAGTAAGATTTTATTTAGGAAAAAAAAATTATTCAGCAAGGATACATTCTATTGGTCAAAATGCTAGTAAAGCTATGTGTAATCTTAAAAAAGATTTCTATTTTAAAAAATCTGAACTGTCAATTCATCAAGAAATTTACACAAAAATATTAAAGCACCACAACTGTTTCAACATTGATAATAATAATAAGAAATGTTTCTTGAGCAGCAAATCAGCATATTAAAATGATTGCTGAAAGTTCATGTGACACTGAAGACTAGAGTAATGATGCTGAAAATTCAGCTTTGCATCACAGGAGTGAATTACATATAAAAAAATATTAAAATAGAAAAGAAAATTTAGAATTGTAATAATACTCGACAGTATTACTGTACAGTATTGTATTATTTACAATATTTACTGCATATTTATGATTGAACAAATGCAGCTTTGTTCTTTCAAAAACATTAAAACTTTTTAAAACATAAAAAAAGTACTGTCCCCAAACTTTGGTAGTGTATACATTTAAATATTTGTGATTATTATACATTAAAATCAAATTATTATAACATTTTATATAGAGATTTAAATATATATATATATATATATTTATATACTTTTGTGTACATTTGAATTACTATATCAGCAAGGCCCTGGAGTAAGCATGCCAACCCAGAGGTCAATGGTGGCACCTCGGGTCACCAAGCGGGTGAGTGTATCCATCAAACCTCCAATCAGTGTGGAGAAGTTCCAAAAAGAAGGCGGAGCACAAGATTGTTTTCTTGGCTATTGGCCAATCAATCTGTCATTCATCTGTCCAGATTACTTAAAGGATGGTTTGCAAAACTCTTAGGGTTACCAGATTTTTTTACAGCTGAAATTTCAAAGGACAGATGAATGAAAATGCTGCATCAGCTCTCCTCATTGCTGATCATAATTCATATAACATAGACAACATTTCAGATAAGCTCGCTTCCATTGTTCTTATGAGGTCAAGTGTGTATACCCTTAACTTTCCGCTTGCACGCTATTGGATGACATTAAATCAGTCATGCTGAGAAGTCATTAACTCCATAAGCTTAAACAATGGAGTGAGTGCTGCAGTATTAGGTTTAATTGTGAGCGTGTTTGAGAGCCACACTGGAAAATACACGCAGCTCAAATGTAAAGCTGATGAGTTGTGCCAGGAACACTCCCATGAACGCCCTTCACCGTCTCTCACTTCCCATCAGTTGTGGGCGTGCAGTCACTTCATGTGTTTAATCAATGAAATGGATGTAATCCTCTTCTTTCATTTCTCAATATTCAGCTGTCCTTCAGCCATGCACCGTCACTTTTTTCGTAAATTACTGTCTCGTTGCCACATAGCTCATGGAGACAAATGTTGTCTTGTAGCCACACGTGTAAATAGTGGATTATTGGTGACAGCTGAGATCAATAGCTATTAAACTGTTGGAGATCTAAGATAAGCCCTCACGAGCCATCGGATTTATGGGAAATGCATCTTAAGGGATTCCATTCCTGTGCTAGAGAGGATTTACGGTATCGGTTATGTGATGCAGTGCATTTTTTCCATGCATGATGCTTTCTCTGTGCTTTTGAAGAGCATCTTGTTTTTATGATCATCACAAAACATCGAGTAAATACATGATTACACTGCTTCTTGACATTGTAGAGGCAGGATTTTATAGTCCACAGACAACTACAAAAGTCCCTAAACAAACATAATATGATCTATCTTTAAATGATAACGGCTTTCAATTAAAATGGAGTAAACTGATTGATCGCAAAAGTTGTTTTAAGACCTGCTGCATCATAATTGAGTATGCAAAGTCTCCTTTTTCTGGCTTCTTTTCAAAACACGTCTCCTTTCCTTGGCAGGATCCTTTGTGGAAGGTGCGCCGCAGTCAAAAGTTGGACATGTCTGCCCGTCTGGAGCTGCAGTCGGCCTTGGAAGCTGAAATCCGTGCCAAGCAACTGGTTCAGGATGAGCTGCGCAAGGTCAAAGCTGCCAACATCTCTTTCGAGAGGTAAGTCTTTGATTCTGCTATAATAAGCGACCTTTTTATTTATTTAGGTTGTTGTTCAAAGTCTCTTCTGTTTAAATAAACTGAGCAAATGCTTTTGGGGACAATAGCAGGTAGCCTGGTGCCCGCTGTGTGTGTTGCATGGGACTGGTTCAGTCTTATGTGCACATTACAAAAGGACACGTTATTAGTTAAAATGATCTTACTTTTTGGACTTTCTCGCCTACAGCAAACTGAAGGATACAGAGGCCAAGAACAAAGACTTGGAGGAACAGCTCGAGAATATGAAGAAGGAGATGGAGGAGAGCCGCTCACGATCAGACAAAGGTGAAAATTATGATACATGCTATGACTTTGCCCTTTATATGCGAGACTTACTTTATACGATGTGTCTATAAACCATGAGGTTGCATATTATCTCATCTTTTTAAGGAACACCTGAAGAGAACCTTATATAAATGCTGCCAGTTGTTAAATGAATAGGTTTTTCTAAAATTCTGTATTATTCCTGACAATATTTTTTCACTTAACTGTAGGCCTGAAACTGCCTGACTTCCAGGATTCCATCTTTGAGTACTTCAATACCTCTCCCCTCGCCCATGACCTGACATTCAGAGTAAGTGTTTCTGATAGTATCTGGCCATCTGCTACTACATTACATGCATTAACAAGCCTCTCTCCATTCATTTCATCATCCTAATGACTTTCTGCCTCAGAAAATCAGAGACCTAATAAACCTAATAGTTTATCAAAGCGAAAAGGGGACGTCAGTAGTATCCAGATTGAAACATTAGAGTATATACACGTTTATGAATATCTAGCAGATACTGGAGACTGGTTCTGATGTCCCTGATCTATTTAGTTGCCTCAGGCATCTGTATTCTTACACTATCCTTTTTCTTTTTGATTGTTAGTTTGTTGGAACGGGTTGAAATGCGTCTTAACAGTTCTTTCAGCATCTCACGCCATGAGTGCTGCATTTCACATACCTACAAACTCAAGTGAAACTCAACTTTTGGCAAAATGTACTGCTCTGATGTTGAAATGGGCCATTAATGCAATTTGTGCAAATCCTAGGAGAGTTTTCTTTTATTATATGAATGTATCTCTAAAGGGAACTGACTGTCTATAGAAAAGTATAGATGGCGTTTCCTTTTCATCCTACCTCCATATGATGCCTAATAAAGTGGTGTTTATAAGCACTGCCCTGATTTGTCTACAGAGGCATCAAGGGTAACTGCTGTAGTTCTGTTTTTCCATAAGCGCCACCTACTGTCAGAAAGAGAATTTTCGCATTTTCATTCCGCCTGTCTGCCGCTTTTGTTCAGACCAATGCGAAAAATAAATATAGTGATTAATATAATTTATAATAATTTAGCATTTTCACTTTTCTTAATTATCTAAAGGTTTTATTTGAAATGTGAAGTTGCCTAAATTGTTGATTTTTAATGTCATTTTATGGTTTAGGATGTTACGGTAGACATTGGAATTGTCAAAACTATATTGCTACCTAAACATAGTTCTATTCTAATTTAAGAATTTTTGAAGAACTATTGCTACTGCTGATTCCAATATTTTTTTAAGAATTTAAAAAGTATTGATGGGTTTTATTAGATACAAATAATTTACCGTTTTTGCCCGTCTGGAGTTTCCAGGTTGGATTTCAAGGGCTGTATCAAGCTCAAAAACTTAAAAATACATATCAAGATGACTGCAATCAGTTCCTGCTGCTTTTGAGCTCAAGAGTGAGTCCCATGTTGACCAGCCTCCCCTTAGCCTACTGGTGTAGATGTGTGATATGAGGCTTCCTGCCCTGCCTCATCCTGAAATCACTGACTCCAAACAGTTATGTAGCTTTCAGTCACAGTTTACATTGAAACAGTATAGCTGATGACGAAGACTTGAGCGATGGATTTACTACAGTCACTGAGTCAGTTCAGTTCAGTTCATGGCCAAATGGTCCATCATGCTTTGATTGCCTCATCAGAGACCAAGGCAACTGGACAATTTTGCAAGTCTGATGCCCATCTTTCAGTTTAATGAAACTGCTTCCTTATTGCAGTGCATTAAAGTCAGATCAGGTTGACACATGTAGCCAGTCTGTATTTCTGAGACTCGTGGGAATATAGGGAACGACCTAAAGTGAAAGCAAGTTCATAAAGACAAAAGCTTTGTTACCTGTCATCTTATTATTGTCCCCCTCAAAAAAAAAAGGACTCTGTCTCCTCCTCATCCGCATCTTCTCTGCTTGCATTTTGGGATGAAGTAAGTTTGCTGAACAAAGCTCCTTCCTCTGTCAACTTTAACCTTGGCAGGAGTGATCTGTCAGCAGACAAAGTGTCTCAAGTCACATTGTAGTTCATCTTGTGCTTTGCCTAAATAAAATGGCACTCACATTACTTACTGTATGTTAATCATGCCTGACTCACCATTTAAGGCCAGACATTGACCATACAACTTATATTCAGCCTAACCAGCATGCCCCTCAGTTTGCTACACCTATTTTGTCTGCTGACCGTGTTCCTCTGCCATATTGCAACCAGACCCTAGATCCAATTCAGTCTAATTGTAGGTGCTAAAGGTTAGAGACTCACGTTTAGCATCCAGCAGTTAGTATTAACCACCTCTCCACTGCCTTCTAACCTCTTAAACGGCTAATGTGAATAACGTCACTCTCCATGTGTCAAGTCTGCAAATGCACTAAGCCGTTAGTTAACTCTTAGAGCCCGCTAGGACAATAAACGTCCATTATTTAAATTGAATGACTAAGGCAACCAGCCGTAAAATGAATCAAATGAAATAAAATGAATGAGAGATGATTAAATTGTGGGGGTTGTTTTGCGAATATTTATAACCTACCAATATAAATGATAATGGTAAGTATGTGCTTGTCAGCTAATTGAACATGAAAGTAATTATCTGAGGAAAAAGTGATGTCAATTAATTTCTTAATGATTGGAATTACCTGCCGGTCTTTGTGCATCTTAATTTTTTTTGTATCGCCCTTAATTGATAGCGTTCACATGTGTGCATTCACATGTTGTATAGATACACAGTTAGACCATATCAGTATGTTTTGTTTAACAGTATTGTATTGTGCTTGGTAAGTATTATTTGTGCATAATTTTGGGGCTTAATTGCAGATAATGTTAGCCAAGGATGGTGTATTAGTTTACAAATGCATCCTGAGATAAATTATAGTTGGCATAGGATTCATTAGGATTCTTTACACACACACACACTTTTGCATTTTATATAAATTTGAAAGAATCTTGAAAAAATGTATCATGGTTTTCACAATAATATTAAGCAGCACTGTTTCATCGTTGATGATAAGAAATGTTTCTTGAGAACCAAATTCAGCTTTGCCATGTTAATGTATCATTTTATTAATAGGTATAAACCTCATGCTCATGACTTTCACGAGTAAGCACATGACCTCTGAATGCGTATTAGTTATGACTAATAATACATTTCATAAATGTCATCTCAGTCACATTGTGACAATGTTTGCCTGGCTTGAATCTGTTAGTATAGCTTTTTGGGGAAACTAAAGGATGCTTTTAAAGCTTTTGACCTCATCTGCTGCCCATAAAGATACCGTGTAAGTGGAATAAAAATAGCCCCCAGCAAATGATGCATACACATTTTGAGCTGTGTCCCAACTGTGGTCTTTTCCCTCAGACAAGCTCCGTCGGTGATGTGGACGCCACACCCCAGAAGACAGACATCCCTACTGCCTCCCTATCAGTGGCTTCAGAACAGGATGTGAGTGTCCACCTAACACTTCCTATTACATTCTGCTGCTGTCAGACTTCCTGTCTGATACATTGGCCATTGATTTAGTAATTTCCTGAATAGTAATGGATAGGACGAAGCTTAAAAAAATCGAAATAAATGCTGTAAGGTTTTTTTGAAACACAGACATGAGTACTCAAATATACTTGTTTGGTATTACACATTTTATATATAAATATTATTATTATATTTTTTGGATAGAATTTATGTAGCTTTTATTTCTGGAACTGTTGTATTACTCCTTTAGGAACCAGTCAAGCCTCAAGCGACCACCCCTGCTACCCCATCTCCAATCTATCAGCCCACGCTAAGTGCGCCAAAGGTAAAACCACCATATGATGTGTCTGACTCATCATTAGCCTGTTTCCTTTAGGTCCTTTAAGTCTTTCAGCATCTTATTATTGGCTTTCCAACATCAACATGCATTCGTTCCTCTGACTGTTAATATTTTGTTTATATCAACAGCCTAAAGCTCATCAGCTGAGCATTAAGACTTTCTCCAGCCCGACCCAGTGCACTCACTGTACCTCCCTGATGGTGGGCCAGATCCGACAGGGTTATGCCTGTGAGGGTGAGCTGAGTATTAATGATAAATGACATCAGAGACGGTGGCTTGGGGAAATGATAAGGAGCTTTTGATCTCTTGATGCCAGTTTCACTTGTCAAGTTTTTGAATGTTTGATAATTCTCTCTCCCTGTGCTGAATCTCTTTTAGTATGCTCTTTCATCTGCCACGTGTCCTGTAAAGACAATGCGCCCCAGGTTTGCCCCATTCCTCCAGAGCAGGCCAAGAGGCCTCTGGGTATTGATGTGCAGAGGGGCATTGGCACAGCGTACAAAGGTTTTGTCAGGGTGAGAATGATAATGTAGTAAAGTTTCTCTTCTTAAGGGTTGAATGGTGAAATGTCACTTATTTTTATCTCACTTGAGCACTTGCATTGAACTTGATTGTATTTCCTACTGGATGTTTTACTAAATATACATTGAATTGCAGTATTGGTTTGCTCCTCTTTCAGATCCCGAAGCCCACAGGAGTGAAGAAGGGCTGGCAGAGGGCATATGCTGTAGTGTGTGACTGTAAGCTTTTCCTCTATGAGGTGCCAGAGGGGAAGTCCACTCAGCCTGGTGTGATGGCCAGTCAGGTCCTCGACTTGAGGTCAGGATTAGTCACATCCTCAATCATATATACTTACACACAGTCATCGATTAATGTAATCTACTTCAATGCTATTCAAAGGTTTGGGTTCTGTAAATGTTTTAGAAATATAATGTCTCTTATGCTCGCCAAGGCTACATTTATTTGATCAAAAATACAGCAAAATCAGTAATATAGTGAAATATTATTATAATTTCAAACAACTGTTTTCTTTTTGAATATATTTTAAAATTGAATTTATTCCCATGATGGCAAAACTGAATTTTCAGCTGCGATCACTCCAGTCTTCAGTCTAACGTGATTCTTCAAAAGATGCTGATTTGATGCTCAAGAAACATTTATTATCAATGTTAAAAAACAGCTTTTTTTCAGGATACTCTGATTAATAGAATGTTCAAAAGTAGAGGATTTATTTGAAATCAAAATCTTTTGTAACGTGTACATGTCTTTAACTGTCACTTTTGATCAATTTAACGCATCTTGCCAAATAAAAGTATGAACTTAAACTTACTTACCCCAAACTTTTAGTGTAAATAACGTATGTACAATCAGACAGTCATTATTTCAAAATAAACCCAAACAGGCTGAATATAGTATTAAGCGGCATTTTTCATTTTTGTGACATTGTTTCTTTCTTTTCCTCACAGAGATGAAGAGTTCTCTGTAAGCTCTGTGTTGGCATCTGATGTGATCCATGCCAGTCGTAAAGACATTCCCTGCATATTTAGGGTATGTTTCAAAATGTGTCCTGTTCCTTAAATGGTTGCTACATTTGCCTAATCATGCATCCCGATAATTAACAATATTTGCCCTGAACTGCACAGGTAGCATCATCCGCTTCGAACTCTCCAGTCCGGCCGGTGCCTCTGCTGGTGTTAGCTGAGAGTGAGGCGGAGAAGAGGAAGTGGGTGGGCATTCTAGAGGGCCTGCAGAACATCCTGGCCAAGAACCGCCTGAAGAACCGTGTGGTGCATGTCCTGCATGAGGCCTACGACAGCAGCCTGCCTGCCATCAAAACTACACTCTCTGCTGCCATCGTAGGCGAGTACAGCGTTAGAGCCCATGATCTTATTCTCTGAGATTGATACTAATCAGTCAGTTAAACGAATCAATATAATGTTCCACTTTCCCCCATTTTCAGGAGAGCAACAAGCATTTCTTGACACTGTTTACATTCATTTATGATGATCAAAAATGCTGCTTTTTTTTGTCCATTATTACCCTTATTTGACTCTGATTTTGGTCAACATTTTTATTTTTAGTTAGTTATTGTTAAAAACTGTTTTTAGTTAAAATATTTTAAACACCATTTCTAATTCTTGTTTAATTCTGACCTTGAAATTAGTACTTTGATACTTAATACTTTAATTTTACTTAAGTAAAATTAATTTGTCACACCAGAGGACCATTTAAAAGAAATTAGCGAATGTCAAAAGGTAATTAAAAATAGTGAATAGCTTCTATTTTAAAAACGTCTACGTTAATATTTCATATAGGTTTTTAACATAAAAAGGTTTGTGCTGTACAACTGCTTAAATTTCACTTAATTAAGTTTTTATAATTAGGTTACAATTACTTCAGTTCGTTTTTTGGAAATATACACATTTAAATAGTGGCTGTCATAAAAACTTGGACGGATTTATTCAAACATAAATAAAACATTAAAGAACAGTAAAAAAATTATAATGAATATATTATATGGTGCGTATATTTAGCTAAATGCTCCTCTCTACAGTTTATTTTTCTGGCTGACTAATGAGTTTATAATCACGAATATGTTTTTTCTGAGGTAAATATGACGTTACGTGACATTGTTTACAAGCCATTATATTGACGTCTTTGCGTGGCTGAAACACTGATTGAGACAGGATACGGATTGTAAAGTTGTGCTCTTTCTTTTACTTACCTTTGGTTGTTTAACTTAGTCATGTTTATTTTGTGCTGAAACTGGTATTAATGCGGAGATCTGATCAGTTCACATGCGCTACGTGCTGCCGTTTCTGTTGATCGAGGCACTCCAGCAATCTGTCACTCCACATTAAACAGCGCCAAAACAACATTTATTGTTTGAATACTGCAATACAATGGACATAAATTGAAATCTGAGACTTTGTTTCATATGAAAAGTACCAAAGCACAATGCTTATGCGATATATTGAATGGGAAGTGCCCTTCAATGTTCCGTCCATTAACTGAAAACAGGCTAGACTAATCGATTCTTGGGATTTAAGAATCGATATCGTTTCGTAAAAATGAGAATCGATTAAAATCGAGATACCGATATTTTTTCCCCAACCCTAATCCTTATTGAATTTCTGTTTTTATTTGTCATGTTTTCATTTCCTCTATGAATATATCAATATAAATGCCATTACAGTTGTGCATTTGGAAATGATTTTGTCTAAGAATAAGAATAATATCCGGTATTAATATTTGCAATCAAATAAAAAATTATAGCTAGAGACCATTTTACCTAGGAGTAGCTTTATGAACTTTATGAACAAATTTATGAAGGAAAGGACTTTCAATGGAGGGGCAAAAATTGCTCAGTTTATATAAAAAAAATCTTCATTTGGTTTTGAATATGACCAAAAGTCTTATGAGTTTGGAACCACACGATTTTCTGTTGAATTTTTGGTTGAACTATCACTTTAAGGGTTGACGCATCGTATTCACAAATATTCCATTCACAAATCATATCTGTCCTGCTTTTGTCTCTACAGATCGAGAACGAATTGCGTTGGGGACAGAAGATGGCCTGTTTGTAGTCGAGATCACCAGAGATGGTATCAGTACTCTGTATAGCACAGATTTAGTTCTTCAGCATTATTTTCACTATTATTAATTTCCCATGATCCTTTTTTCAGTCATTGTTCGTGCTGCTGACTGTAAAAGAGCCTGCCAGATTGAGCTCATGCCCAAAGAGAAGATGGTGGCCCTGCTTTCTGGCCGTAACCGCCATGTCCATTTATACCCCTGGGCGGCACTGGAGGGTGCGGATGTTAATTTCGATGCCAAGTTGACGGATACAAAAGGCTGCCAGGCTATGACCATAGGTACCCTACGCCCCGGTGGTCCAGCGTGTCTCCTAGCAGGTGTGAAGCGGCTGGTCATCTGCTACGAAATCACTCGCGTAAAGCCCCATCACCGTAAGCTGTGGGAGGTGCAGGCGCCTGGTATCGCCCAGTGGCTGGGTATTATTCGTGATCGGCTGTGCGTGGGTTACCCGTCGGGCTTCGCTCTGCTGGCCATGCAGGGAGAGTCGTCACCGGTGAGTCTGGTGAGCCCGGGAGATCCCTCGCTTGCCTTTTTGGCCCAGCAATCACTGGATGCACTGCACGCTATGGAGGTGGGGGCCAATGAACTGCTGCTGTGCTTCAGTCAGCTGGGAGTGTACGTGGACGCGACGGGACGACGCTCACGAACGCAGGAGCTGATGTGGCCCGCCACACCGCTTGCCTGCAGTAAGTGTCTCTAAAGAGCTTGTGTGGGAAGGAAATCATAATTGGTGAAAGTATCTAAGCAACGGTGTGTTTTCATGTTTTCAGCCCTCCTGAAATTCCAGTGTTTTTCATGTGTAGACTTGGAGGAAGCGAGGAGTAGGAAAGAATAGAGGAGAGATAGCAAAGCAAGGAGGAGGTAGAGAAGACAGATGAGAACTAGAGGTTTAAAAGAGGTGCAACAAAAAAAAAAGTGTTTGAAAAATGTTGAAAATGTTTGAAAAGTGTTGCTGAATTGTTTTTAATAGTGTAATTCTCAAAAGTTTCTTTACAAAATCTTATGAGTTAAATGACAGGTAGCTATCCAGTGATTCTGGTCAATACCGATAAGCCAATAATTAGTTTCATGTTGTGACCAATAAATGGTCTATACTATAAAAAATAATAATAAAGCTAACAAAGGAAAATCAATGATTTTAAATGCTACAAGTGAATGTAGGTGTCACATCATTATAATGTACACTCATAAAATGGATATTTATGGATTACATTTAACAGTGTTATTCCATTTATTAGCATTTTTATAGGTTAACTTTGAGTGATAGATGAGAAAGTTAATCTAAATATAAAAATAGAGGAGATGTAATGTGAGTTTAGCCTTAATAAGTGAATTTATTTGATGGTAACCATTTCAACTTGTAATTTGACATGGAGGAAAAGAAAAGAAACCAAAACCAAATTCTGGCTGTTCTCATTAAGGAAATTAGTGCAAGGCTTTATCAAACCGGAAAGTAAGAGCGACCATGGGAAAGCTGTGGCCAACTCCATTAGGGGTGTGAGTGGAACAAATGGGCGGCAGTAAACAAACGCTAGCAGAAAGGTCAAGGGAGCAGATAAGTACAGTATTGTAGAATGTAGCTATTATGATGTAATGATGTAATGCGTAATATTTAAAACAATCCAATCAATCCATGAAACATCTTGAAATTTAAGACAAGCGTGAGGCCCTCCTAACTTTAAGAAGTTATTTTTATTAATTTTTTTTTTTTTTTCAGGAATTTGAATTCTTACGTATTTTCTTAGGAACTGTGTTAATTAAATATAATACAATTATTCTTAAATCTTTTCAACAATACTTGATATTATTACACTTTTTCTTAAGTTAGACAATAAGAAAAGTACTTACGAAGAATTTTATTCTTAGCACTATTTTGGGAATCGGGCCCCAGATGTTTCAGTCAGAATAGTGAGCAGCTATCCAGCCTCTGACCCAGTTTCTAGGCACGTCAGGCAGTCCTTTGAGAACAGCATCTTGAATGATTTGCCTACTGCATTCTTCTGATCATGAGCATGAGATCTCAAACCCATATTCGTTATTTTCAGGCTCAAACTCGAACTACCTGACGGTGTACAGTGATTATGGAGTAGATGTGTTTGACGTCCACACCACAGAATGGGTCCAGACCATCTCATTAAGAGGAGTAAGTGAAAGATCCTAATTTTAGGGTTTCTGAAAGCTGTTTCATATTTAACTGTATTAATGATTTAAAACTGATCAGACTTTCAACTGTGTCTGTAGATTCGGCCCCTGAATGTGGAGGGCAGTCTGAACCTGTTTGGCTCCGAGCAGCCCCATCTCATCTACTTCAGCAACAACTCCTCAGGTCTGATCCCACCCTACACACACTTCACCATGTCAACACACATATCTCCCACACACTGAACCTTGTGTCTGCTTCACTGCTGAGGGCGAGTTTATTTCTTCACTCAATGTTGCCAGAGTCTCTGATTACAATAGTCCACCTGTGAAGAAATGTGTCCTCCACAAAGTGATGTCAATCCCTCCCACCTACACAGACACTGACGCACGCATGTGTATATATATATACTAGCAAGCCCATACATGCAAAAAACTCAATGATTTTGATTCATCTCAGTGACTTGAATTTATTTTAATCGGTTCACTAGAATGATTTATTCAATGATTCGTTCAGTGGCCCTTACTGCCGATTGCATCATTATGCCAGTATGTGATGACGGTTAACTTTGAATGTTATGAGTCACTGAATTATTCACTCAACCAATTTTTTAAAACACTGTGTTCGTGACCGAATAACTCTTAAAAAGTGTTAAGCATCATAAGGTTTTTTGAATTTGACGTCTTGTTCAGTGCTTTTCTTATTTAGACTCGAAGCTGAGCAAGTGGCCATATTTGTTCAGTACATTCAGTGCTTCTTGACAGCATGCTCTTGAATGCTCTTTGCTCTTTTTAAAGTCATATTTTGATATCTCTCCTCTGTGAAGCACATGCTTATTTTCCTGTCTTCAGTGAAAAAGAGTCTATTACTTGGAAGATTTTTTTCTCAAAAACACTGAACGAGTCAATGTGTACAAGTAAATGAGATTTTTTTTGTTCATGTACAAGATTTGTTTTAAAACACTGAATATGAGTCATTTGAGGGAAATTAATGAGGACTAATTATTTACAAGATGTATTCAAAAACACTGAAAGAATCGGTGCATAGAAGTGAATGATTTGTTCAAAGATTTGTTTGAAAACTCAATGCGAGTCAGTAGATAGAAATGAATAACAAGATTAATTCAGTAACACCGGATCAGTGCATAATGGTGAATGAGAATTTGTTCATTTACAAGATTTACAAACAAGAACTATTTGTTCACTTATGGGATTTGTTCAAAAACATTGAACAAATGAATCAATGAGTGAGAATGATTTGTTCGTTTATAAGAGTGGTTTAAAAACACTAAATATGAGTTAGTTGATAGAAATGGATGAAAATGATTTATTTACAAGATTTGTTTAAAAGCTCAATGTGAGTCAGTAGATAGAAATGAATGAGAACTAATTGTTCATTAACAAGATTTATTCAGTAACATAGAATCAGTGCATAGTGGTGAATAAGAATTTGTTCATTTACAAGATTTATTTAGAAACATTGTATACGAGTCAGTACACAGAAGTAAACAAGAACTATTTGTTCACTTATTGAATTTGTTCAAAAACCCTAAATGAATCGGTGAGTGAGAATGAGTTCATTTCATTTATAAGAATTGTTTAAAAACACAGTCAGTAGATAGAAATGAAAGAATAATTGTTCACTTACAAGATTTGTTCAAAAACACTAAATGAATCAGTACACAGAAGTGAAAGTGAATGATTTGTTCATGTATAGGATTTGTTCAAAAGCTCTGATTTGTTCACAAACAAAACACCACTAGGTCTCTCCATTAGATCAGCCCAGGTAATGAAATGTACAGCTCCACCCTTTGTGATCCATTTACAATTCACTTCCTGCCCACTTTGGCAGATCGCCCTCTTGATAAAGATGCTTTTGTTTGGTAAACTGGAATGACCTCATTTGTCACACCTCCTCTAGGCCTGCTGCCAACAAGTTCCACAGTACGTTCAGACACAGCGGCTTTAGAGCTCAAAAACCCAGGACTGCCATAGTTTGAGCCACAACCATCTTTCTCAACCTCATTCACACTCTTGTTTCCACAGATGGCTGTGATCTAGCCATCCCTGAGACCTCAGACAACAGCAAGAAGCTGATGGTGAGGACACGCAGCAAGAGGAAGTTCCTTTTTAAAGTACCAGAGGAGGAGCGGCTGCAGCAGAGAAGGTCAGGTGGCTTCAGGAATAAATCTCTCACACTGCTGCACTCTTGCACTGCTCCTAATCCATGTTACGTTGTTTCCGTTTTCTTCAATAGGGAGATGCTGAGGGATCCTGAAATGAGATCCAAGCTGATCTCCAACCCCACCAACTTCAACCACGTGGCTCACATGGGCCCAGGCGACGGCATGCAAGTCCTCATGGATCTTCCTCTGGTAATGTCTTAAAGCTGGACATTGGGAGATCAGCTTCAGCTATTTTGATATTATTTAAATGTGTAAACACACTTGGTGCTGAAAGCTAAGGGCCCTTGCTTAGTAACACAGTTGCCGTTTTAAAATCTGGATGGGACGACCGATCAGCTGAAGATTTTTTCTAAAATCCCCATCCTGCCAATACCAGTGTCACCATTGTGCCCTTGAGCCTGGGTTTCTGAAAGGCAGTGTTTCTGAACTCTGCTGCCTCAGTTCCCTCCACACTTGCACACTGGAAGTGTCTAATCTGTAACATCCAATTCAGGTTACGAAGCTGCTACTAATAAGCCAGTTACTTGAAGCAGGTGTATCCGCTAAAAGACTCAAAATGTTCAGTGCTAGGGGATCCCCAGGAGCAAATTTGAGAAACACTGGTCTAATTACGAAAGGGATCCGAGAACCGCTTTTTATTCAGACCATTCAGACCATTTTTATTTTTATTCATACCATGGAACAGAACATCATTTTACTTTGCTACTATTCAACAGTGTCATAAAACCACTAATGAATATACAAAACATACAGCATTGCAATCTAAATCCAGATTCTAAAAACACAAGTCTTATGAGTCAGTTCTTGTTAGTCTGTCTATCGTCTGTCTGTCTGTCTGTCTGTCGTCTGTCTGTCTGTCTGTCTATCATCTATCTGTCTGTCTGTCTATCATCTATCTATCTATCTGTCTGTCTGTCTGTGTTTTATCT